TTTTCCCCCTTTTATTCTCTTTTTGGAATCTGACAACCTGGCTACGGGGTTGAGATGCCCTCATTGAGGGTATACTCAAACTACCAGTTCCAATAATGTATACAACTGCAATCACGGCCAAAACTTTGTTTCCTTCTTTTTTTTTAATTCTTTTATGAGGTTCACGGCCGCAACTTTTTTTTTTTTTTTTTGCTTTTTTTTGTTCTTTCCGTGAGAGTACCAGAAAGAAAACGGAGTGGTACCCAGGCTCGGCAAAACTCGGAGCGCAGTGAAATTCAGGGTCAGCAAAAATAGGCTCGGAGGTACTGGTGGTTTAAACCACCAGTTCTTGGCCCAGGTATCGATGTCGAGCCTGAATATGCCCTGGGTGTCATTTTGCCCCAACCTGCCAGGGAAACAATTTTCTTTTTTTGGCTGGTTGCGTCAGCCTTTCAGGTCCGGTACTTGGGGCCTCCGAAACTTGCAGGGCGGCCGACATGTGGGCCAACAACTGTTTTTTTTTGGCTGGCGGCGTCAGCCTTTCAGGTTCGGTACTCGGGGCCTCCGAAACTTGCGGGGCGGCCGACATATGGACCATGTACTGGTGGTTTAACCCACTAATAAGTTCAAGGGACCCGCGATTATTGTGTCAAAGGTAAACATTGTTGTTCATTGACTATTAAACCACCAGTACCTAGCGGTTGTTAAGGCACGTGGCTCAGCCTACCGGTATCCCGAACCTTGCCGAGCCTCGAGCTACCGGTAGGTAAACATGGTAAGAAAAAAAGAAGACAAAAAAAAAAAAAATCGACATTCTTCTGCAAAAAAATAAATAAATTGAAAAACAAAGATATCCGTTTGCACTTTCCATCTTTGGGTCGTGTGGAGAGAGAGAGAGAGAGAGAGAGAGAGAGAGAGAGAGAGAGAGGATAGTGCACGAATGTACAAATAGAGAAAGAATCTTCCCTTCTTGTCGGGGAAGATTTGTTCTCATTTTGCACATTTGTCTAAGGGTCCGCGCCTTGGAAAAGGGAGAGAGAGAGAGAGGCGGCGCGTTCGACGCGGCCAGCCGTGCAATGCGCCGACGCTCTCTCTCTCTCTCTCTCTCTCTCTCTCTCTCTCTCTCTCTCTCTCTCTCTCTCTCTCTCTCTCTCCTCTCTCTCTCTCTCAGATATGGCCCTGTCTCTTATACACATCTAGATGTGTATAAGAGACAGTTGTCGAACACTTCTTTTGTCGCCCTTGCCAATATCATGTAAGGCCCAAGGAAGTCGGACCATTCCTTGGTCCAACTCTTAAGCGACAGAGTAACTAAATGATCAATCCCGGTCGAGCAAAGGGCCATCGCTGCAAACTCTCTATACTCCTTATTTTTG